TAACTGTCACCCGTTCACCTTCAGGGACATCAAGTAAAAAAAAATAATAAAAAAACGAATCTCAGTTTTAAATTTCAGTCGTTTCTCTCTTACCTGCTCTTCCCTTCCGTTGGCTGCACCCGCCTCTGAAAATCACGGATCCGGACACGATCGAGAGTTCTGTGCCGAGGAGAAGGTGCGGTTCCGAGCGCCGGGTCCCCTCGCGCCGCCGGGACCCCGTTCCCATGGGCCGTTCCCTCCCGGAGGCCTCCGCCGCCTTCCCCCGACCACTGCCCGAGCAACAACAGCGCACGTAGTTTTGAAGGGATGTTAAAAGCTTAAAGCTGAAATTCCCCTTCTCATTTATAGAGTAAAGGACACACGAACTGTCCGTACACACAAAGACGCACCCGGGTGCTCCGTCGGGCATCCTTCCCGGCAGGCGGAACCCTGGTCGTGGTGGTTCTGTCATGCTCGGTGCCTTAAGTCTTACAGCTCGACTTTTCCTTCCTGATTTCTCTGCTCAGCTGTCACTGTCAGTAGACATAAACCTTCCAAGCCAGGGTGCTTGAAAAAATCATGAATTTCGGTAAAACTGCGGTTTTAAAGCTTGTTAACTTCTCATCAGACTAATGTGCTATTTCAAGAAAATCTTACCAAGAATTAATTGCAAAGCATCGTTTTTTAGGTGGACCTTTATATTCGCCATATTTAATGCAGAGTGTGCCTCTCCTTGACCAGCTGGGCATCTCCTTTTTTTTTAATTTATTTATTTTGTTGTTGGTTCCCATTTTTCACACCTAGATAGTATAATTGCTTATGTTCAGGGCTTTGCTGTATCTTTTATCTTTCTCCATTCTGCCAGGCTGACATCTTGGTTTCAATCCTGTTTTCAAATGAGTTTGATGTTTCTTTTATTCTTTATTTTTATTTGCAGTTAATTAAATGCTGAGGCTTAGATTTTGCTTTGTTGTCTTTCGTAAAAGGATTTATTTAGGTCTTTCTCCTTATTTTTAGACAGTTTTCTGTCCTGCTGATTGATGTAGAAATATATAATGTGATTTTGTTTTATCCAAGCAGAGCTTATTACTGTTGAAAATAGTAAGTAGGAAAATACTTGCTTGAACTGTTTTTTCACTGGCATTTAAGAGAAAGGCCGTTGCTTCCATTTGGGGGAATCTTAAAAGGTCTTAATCTTAAGTCTGCATTTCTTTACTCCTTATCAGAATTCTCTCCTAGATTCCTTGGTATTTTAAACAAGTGTGTGAGAAGCTGTAGTTACTGTAGGTGTATTTCTCACAGTTTGCTTTATTTGCCAACCTGTGGGTCATACAATCGCGAGGTGGAGATTGGCCTAACAGTGAAGGTGGTGAGATGTGACTGTAAATGTAGTTTTGCAGGCTATTTTTCTTTTATATATTTGGTGACAGACTTTAGTTAAAAACAGCCTCATTTTATCAGCAGTTAGCTTGCAGATGTATTGGAGTGCAGCAGAGCGAGCTGTTGGGAAGTCTTTTGATGCTTTTACCTTGAACTTCTACTTTGGGCTCCTTATCAGTACCCAAAATTAGTTACAAAGATAAAGGAAAAAAAATCTGAAGGACGAAGAATCCATGAGTGACAAACACAAACTGTTTTTTGGAGGAAAGTTTAGAAACTGCACAATGTATCCACAGAAAATTCAGGGTCCTTGAACTTCTTTTATTTTTTTTTTTTTTTTAATCTTACCTTGCTTCTGGTTCTTCTACCCTGATTGAACACAAGTCGGTGTATCTAAGGTTTAGAAGAAGAAAGTTTAGAATTCCTAGGTTAGGAGGTATTATCAGACCTGCAGAGGTGGCTAACAGAAATGAGGGAACAGAATCGATTTTCAATTTATAGTATGTATAAGAACCTAAGATGGGTGTTATAAATGGCTTTCTATTTAAAATGATCTTTGAGAATGTTTTTAAAAGCACTATAATCTGCGTTAGACATTAATTTTATAGGTAATACATACCTGTAACGAAATATTTCCAGTAACTGCAAATGGCCGGGTCAGGTAGAGAAAGAGGACGTGCTGCGTTTACCTTCAACATTGAGACTCTCGGCTTTGCTAGAGGTGCAGCTCTGCCTGATGTCGTGTCTAAGCCTCCACCACCATTTCCTGTAAGTACAGTGAGTATCTTAGAGCACACTCTCTGTGTTCTGGTAAAATGTATTCACTCTCATGTTCAGATATTACAATGAAGTATATGAAAAACCCTAAACGCTTTAGGACAGTTTCAAACTCTTATGTAAATAATTGCTTTCCTTACTGTTACTTCCTGTCCCTTTGCTAAGTGTTTTATCCCTAATTTACCTAGATTGCTTGCAAGATGTTTGTTCGTTAAAGTCCTCATCATGATTTAGTTTTCTGGTCATTACAGTAATGGAAGCACTGAGTATCTGAATTTATTTGAAATGAAGTTACACTAGTCTTTGAAGCTGTGAATGGATTTGCTGATTTTAGAAATTTACTGCTGACCTTTACTTCCATAAAAGATTTTGGAAGATTGTCTTGTACCTCAGTAGCCAGAGTTGGAAAATAATTTAAAAATAACTGAAAGATATCTTATGTAATTGAGGAAACTTAATTACATTTGGCATTTGGAATGTATTTGAAAATTAAAGGGAAAGAAAGAGCATTTTCTGACTGAGCTTTGTTATGCAGGGAAGCTTGGACGATTTTGAGGCGGAAAAGCAGTCTTACAATGTTGCAGTTTCGTGTAAGAGAACCTCCCAATTTTGTCAGGATTTAGTCAAAATGCATGAGATTTTTCTCAATCTCACGTGTTATGATACATCTAATGGCATATAATTGGTGCTGTGTTGAGATTTCTCTGAATAGTTATTTCACCCAAGGTTCTGACTTACTGAACCAGATGTAAGCTGTGCAATTTCGCTGGTACTAAGCCATCTGTAACTGTTCCTAAGTTGAGTGTTGCAGTCTGCTTGGTCGCACAAGGAAACTGAGCTCTGTGTGAGCTACAGCTGCTGCAGTTGCAGTCAGCAGTCGATCAGCCTTACAGGAGAATTACTAGCCCTGGTATATCTAATGTATACCGTGGAGAAGGTATAGGTGCTTTCTTCGTTCTGTGAACAAAGTTTCAGAACTAAGTTAAACTTTTCAGGGAGAAGCTAGAGCCATTCAGAAGAACTAGAGTTAACCCAGTAGCAGAAGTAGTGTCCATAAAGATTTCAAGAATCAGATTTAATGATTGGGCAGTGACCAAAACTGTATTACAGCTGTCGACTGACTTAACACTGAAATTATTTTAAGCAGTGAATTGTTGCTATTACATATTTCTAATAGACACTTTTTGAGTTCTTATGAATTTCCTGTAAATGCAATTAGAAACCCAATTAAGGAGCATCAGCTTCCCATCAGCAACATTAGTGATTTAAAATGTCAGCTAGCAAATACAATTGGAAGCAATAAACTCCTTTCATGATCCAGCTCTGGGACTTGGGATAGCACTTTGTGCTTTGCACCCTACCACTCAGGTATCGATTGTGCACCATCTGGTGTGTGAGGGAAATAACATCCATTCTGTAATTCTGTCTCTGGCTCTAGTTTTCTGTGTATTTTTATAACTCTTTTCACTCATTTATCTTTCCCAATGTAAAGATTCATAGTTCAAAACCACTCCCTCCAAAAAAAATCTAAACCTTAACAATTAGTTTAAAATTCAGCTGACAGAAGTGGAATTGTGTGAGGGCCTGTATGCCACCTGGTTGCATGACTACACAACTTGTTTCTGTGACGATAGTCATGGAAAGGATGTCCATGTTATTCAGAGTAATCATACTTAATGTAATTAAAACACTGTTTTAGAGAGATTAAGGCCAGCACTACTGTGACTGAAGAGAGAAGCAATGGTTTCTGAGTAAGTTAGGCTGGTACGAAAAATTGCTTTTGGCGATTAAGAGCTTGACATGACTATGAATTACTATTTCACAGTTTTAATACTGTTTTTTCTTGATTTCTTGGTATATTTTTTGCAGAAAGATACAGAGGAGTCATAAAAGGTATAAAATTAGTTGTAAATGTAGTTACGCATGTGAGATTGCAATGAAGTATACTTGCCAAGTAGCATAATGCATAGTTTTGATGGATATTAAGACCTTACAAATAATAAACGTAATTTGTACAGAGTACAGACAATAAGCCAGTGCCTCTGAAAACAGGAGAAGATGAAGATTACATGTTGGCCTTAAAACAAGATCTTAGAGGAACTATGAAAAAAATGCCATATTTTTTGGCAGTAGAAGAAGAGCGTGAAGGTTTGTTTGCGTGCTTTTTATTTATATCTTCAGTCGTTACTATTCTGTGAAGGACGATGTAGTGGAATGCATGTGTTGAAAATGTATTTTGTACTGATAATGAGGAGTAAAAATTGGCAGCTTGAGATAATAGGGATTTTTTCTGCTTTTACCCTTGTTGAAGTTGTAGGTCACACCTACAAGAGCCATAACTGGAAAGCAACTACTGTGTGAAAAAGAAGTATCAAACATCTATTCCATTTGGTATACAGTAAGAAACTTTACACCAACTGTATGCAGTCTTTTCAATTATATACTAACCAATACAAGTGAAACAGGCATTTCGACATGTTAAAATACCCTAAAAGTTTTGCATTGGAGTAGAGAAATCTGTAGTAAATATCGGTGGTGAAGTTCAGCTTCTGTTTTAATTGTGGAAAGACATACTTAAAATAGTCAGTGTTATATTTAATAGCTGGACATTCTGAAAGGTACTATATTTTTTACCTAAGTCCATTCAGGAAAGAGCAGTAAGTATGACTGGCAAGTCACCTGAAATACAAAGACTGAGAGAGATAAGGTTAAGTGACTTACTGAGGTTTGCATCAGAAGCAGAGCTGGATTAGAAGCCAAAGCTCGATATTACTTTTCTTGACCTAAGAATGTCTTTTGCTTATAGGTAATTAAAAATTAACCACTTTGGTATTGTTTGGTAACAATAAATGCTCTGCTATACTTGACATCCAGTCCTACATCATAACACTGCTAAAATCCAAGCTTCCTGATCAGAAAACTGAGCTAGTGGGAAAGAAGGAAAGGGAAAGGGTAGGAAGACTTTCCTATCTGTTTACCTTGCCGTGGGGGTATTGTAAATCTAGCAGTCACAGGAGTTTATTACTGTAAGGAGTGTTTCTTTTCACCTGTGATTTTGCCTAGCTCTATCACCCTCCAGAGTGCTTGTTCTGAATGATGTAAATGGTAAGTACTGTCACTGGAAAACAGGAGATGCAACATGTTAGGAAATGCTGCATGTGTCATACCCTACGCCCAGTCGATGTGATAAGCAGTCACTGAAAAGCTTGATACAAACATTTAAAAAATCCAAAGTGGTCAAATACTGGATAGTCTTTTCCTTGCTGTCTTGTGCTGATTTTGAATAGGGAGAGCTGACTTGAACTCTAAAATGTGAGGTTTAATTTCCACCCCGAAACCATCAGAATATTTTCAGACTTGAATATTCATGATGTAGATACGATATAGGCACATAGTCCAATCCCTTCTGAATTTTTGGCAGTTTTTGTTCATGGCGTAGTGATGAATTCTAGAGGTTTTTGAGACTGCAAGGAATTTTTTTTTAATTAGGCTTGGAAAGTAACACTGATTAACACACCTTCCTGATTGTCCACTTGTTGTACAAAAGCACTGTTTAAAATGGAGCAGCTCTCTGCGGTGTGAGCAGTGAATGCACTCCTGACCAGACGTTGTGGCTCACAAAAAGCAGAGTGTTTCCTTTGGCTGGCAGCTGGAGCCCAGCAGTCACCAGGACATGGCAGGCAGCTGTAGTGCAGCACAAGCTGACCACCCAGGGTGGACCCTGACAGTGCAGCCAGGTAAAACATTGGTATGAGGCAAGGAGAAGAGATCTGATCTTAATTTCTAGATCCCTTTATGATGGTAGAAGAACTGCAAATTACTCTTTTATCACATCTCCTCTTTCATCTGCCAAGTAAACAAATTTCAATCTCTTTGGATTCTCATCTCGACAGAGGCTTGCCGTGCTCTTGATCTTTGTCAGGCTTGAAGTTTGCTGTTGCCGTTGGAGGCACAAAAAAGGCAGCTGCTGTGCTTGAGAGCAGGTCAGGGTTATTTCCAAGGAACCAGCCACTTTATGAGAACGTATTATCTCTCTTTTCCAGCTTTGCCTCACATGATCATTATAGAATCATAGAATGGTTAGTGTTGGAAGAGACCTCAAAGATCATCTGGTTCCACCCCCCGTGCCATGGGCAAGGACACCTTCCACTACACCAGGTTGCTCAAAGCCTCATCGAACCTGGTCATCATTCTTCCTGTTCACCTCAAAATCATATTTGTTTCTGCAGCCTTCTTTCTGAGGTGGAGAGATCTCTCCCTGTTGCCGAGTGTATTGCTTAATAGAACTGCCTGCTTTGAAGACTGTTTTTCTATAAGAACTGGCAGTTGCAGGGAAAGCAGGTAGACAGCAACTTGATAGACTCAAATAATACTTCAGATGTTCCCATCATGTCCCCAAGGGTAAGTTGGTAAGTTGAGGTAACTTTTTACTGAACCTTTAGTTGTATAAAAATGCTGCATCTGAGAGGTGGGATATAATTACATCAACTGTGGTCTGCAGCTTAAAAAGTTTGCTTTCATCTCAGTCACAGTATGCAGTTGTCTCTGGGACCGCATGTATGACAGAAGTGGCCTGGCTTTTAAGAAAATTGCTTTCTTCCCCCAGGGTGGATTACTTCTAACTGATCTTGTCTGTTACCTGGTTTACAGCTCTTTGCTCCCCTGTATTTCATCAAAATATCTTTTAGGACTGAGAGAGAGGCAGGAGGGGAACTGTGGGTGGGAACTTCTTAAATTGGCTTTACTGCAAAAGTAACAGGATTGTTTTAAACCCTCTGCACAAGGTCTGTGAGCCATATGGTCCTTTGAAGTGTGAGAAGGGAAACATTTTAATTAGTTAGGACATAGCTGGCTAGCTTTCTTTCATTATTCAGGTAGTAAATGAAAGCCACATCTAATACTACCTAGCAATTTTGATGCATTAGTATGTCATATGGAATAGATTTTCATGATTCATTTCAACACTCATTTTGAGTAAGTAGTGGGCATGTTCTATAGTAAGTTCTCTATTTTCCTTACTTTGTAAGCTATGAATCATTCATATTTTCACTCTAGGTGTATCTGCTATGACTGGGTGACTGTCACCCTGGCAGTGGTTTGGAATTAATTCATTAGCTGTGTGTGGCAGGAGTCAGTCAGACGTATGTTTTTACTGATGGTGTCAGCGATTAGTTCTTCACGGAAGAGCCTCGGGCTGAAATCAAAACTACTAGTTTCTTTCCCTCTCTGTTGCTGACAGTTTCCTACGGCATCCATGAAGGCCACCTACATTAAATGCCCCTGGAGACACTGTCATTTTAAATGCAAGCTTTGTTGCAGTTTCAAGTAGGTCTTCTGCTGGCCCTCATCATAACTAAGTTTAAAATTGAGGTTCATTTCTGATGTCTTGCTTCTGCTTTTCTTTTCTCTGGTGAGTATGTTGGAAGTCTTTGACTGTAAAGGTCACAGTCTGTTACCATTTTTTATACAATACCCACAAAAATTATCCCTGTTTGGGTAATAAGTTACTAGTTCAACCAAAATCAGTAATTTTGCATTAAGTGGATTTTTGCAGTTGGGCATGGTAATTTGGTAAGAAAAAATGAGACTGATTTAAAAATGCTAAAGTTTTGATGCTGCTTTTGTCATCAGAGATTGTGCAAGGAAGTTTTTATTCAGTATAAATGGATGTGCTTACACTGTATAGCTACTGTTATTAGTTACAGTGCTTTTCTCAGTTTAGTTCTTGTGCCTGGAAAGAGTTTAAATGAACTAAAATGTGTTGCTGCTGTTTAGGACACATATCTTTTATGCTTCTAAGCTTTGCCATTGCAGAAGTACTTAAAAGTCTTGGGACTTGGGATCAGTCTGAGATGTGGCCTTCTGAGACCCGGGAATTGTGGATACACTTTATGATTAGCACAGTGGTGATAAATGTCATTGACTGGTTCTGTAGCAAAGGTTTGATTGTGAAACTGTTGAAGAGTAGGAGAGTTTGCGTTCATTTGATGTTTTAACCTAGTTTCCCTGACTATATCTGCCTGTTATGGTTTCATGCTTTCCAAGGATAGAAGTATAAATTATAATTTTGGAGGGTTGGGCTTTTTTTGAGGAGAAGGAAGTGTTTTGATTAAAAGGAGATACTCCAAAACCACAAAGCAATATTTGGGGGCTTTGCCTTTTTTGGGGGCATATAAAATCCAGGTCTTGCAAGTACTTAGCAAATTATTAGTCCTGGGAATTATCATGATAACTGCTCAAAGTATTGACATTAAACTATTTTTTAAATGTATGACAATAGCACAAGAAAATGTTCAATGTGAGATTAAAAAAATGCACTGTATGTTTAGTTATAGGCAAATATCAAGGCCAGTGTCTGGATTGCCTTTTTAATTAATTGAATTCAATAACTCTTTGTATCCTTCTCTGTAGCAATTGAGAGGTACAGTAAAAAGTACCAAGACAGTGAAAAGGAGCATGCAACATGGACCCCAGGTAATCTGACATTATCAAAGGCTAATTCTGTATCAACCTGTGAAATGTTCTACACTTAAACATTTGTATGCAAATCCTTACCAAGTAATATATGCCTTGTTGAGGGTTATGCCCTTTGCACATTTTCAGATCAAGGTGAAGTATTGCTTTGCCAAAAAAAAAAAAGAAAAAAAAAGGAAAAAAAATCAGATTTTATTCATTTGCTGAGTTGAAACAACTGATTTGCAGCAAAAACATAAGCTCTCACTAGCTTTCCTCCTTCCTTACTCACTATGCAGATACCAGTTTTTAACTGGGAGCAAACATTGATCTTACTGAAAATAACCCAACCTGATGTCTCAGTCACAGGTAGCTGGGTTTGTAACACTGAACTTCCACAGCCATATCTGTATATCTCATTACTGCAAACTTATTGTAGAATGTAAATTGAAGGGCACATGGGCCACTGGGAGGGCTGAACTTGTCTCTTTGGGGCAGATGCCAGTTGTCATTAAGGGGGTGAAATGCCAGTCCTTGCTCTAGTTCCTCAATTTAAAGTACAGCTAGAATTCCATAAAACTGATGTGTGCTAAACCACTTAGGTGTGCATGTAAATAGAATCAAGCACAACAGGGGTCCCTGCCTTTCCTCAATGGGTGGCAGGGGGAGGATTACTGCTGTAAATCATTGTTCGCATATATTAAAGCTGTTTTCTGTACAGATTGGAGAAGATTCCCAAGAGAGATAAAGCCAAAGAAAAAGACCAAGAAAGGTATATTATGTATCTTTTAAGAAGCGTTTAGTACACGGTAGTTGACTGATAGAAAACATATAGGAGCTGGGTTAGGGAAAAAAAATGGTAGAAATGTTAATGAGTCTGAATAATCAGGGCTTTTGGCATATTGTTTTCGAAATAATTTACTACTCTTCCTGACTTCTGTGGTTTTTGTTTTCCTTCGGTAGGATGTTTTAACTTACTGGAACAAATTTTATCTTCCTTTCCTGCCTTTCATATTGGTGTACCGTATTAACATATGAGATATGTATCAATGAAAGATTAAAAAAACTACAGAACTTTTTATTTTGAAAGTTTGTATCTTTATTCAACCAATCACCCTAGTTCTATTAAATGAATAGCTGGCTGTTCAGACTTCCTTTATGTTTTGAGTTTCTCAGTTATCTGCTTTATGAATTGGTTGACTTTTGCCTTTTTTTAAGCCTTTTATATGTGATTTAATGTAGGCTATTTTCTGTTTTCCCTGGTTTTACTTTTTTTGTTTATTTTCAGCTTTCTTCTGCAGAATTGTGAACCAGGTCTTTCAACAGCAGTTGGAGCTGGTATTGGTTGTTCTTACAGGAAAAAACTTTTTTATTACACAGCATCATACATGAATTTGTTTTTCCAAGTGTTTTCTAGTATGCATGACTGTTATTTTAAGTTCTCTGTAGAAGTCTGCTGTGCTGTTGATGTGAAATAACACTTGGCCTCCTGTATCTAGCTGTCTGTTACATATAATTGTTTACTTCATTGTTCTCTTTGTGCAAGTCCTTCATGTGTCATTTTTCAGTTCAAGGATAAAATAGAACAGAAAAAAGGAATGTGCAGTAGTCATGGAGACTGGCTCAGCTGGAAGCTTTGTTCCTTTAAGAGCGTCATTGAGAAGCATGGTGATAAAGGTAGACTGCAAGATCCAACTGAAAATTAAATTCTTATTTGCAAAATCTCTAAAGATGAAAACAGTACCTACCTACTTTTTCTTTTCCCAAAAGAAGAAAATGCGTTGGCTTTTATAAGCCTATACGCACTAATTAGCTGCCGAAGATCCAATGAAATTAGAAATGCTGATTTATTATTACTTGTTACAGTAATGTGATTATCATAAACAAAGAGAGAATCACCGTGGGGGATTTTTCCTCTTTCTTTTGTGCCAGTTTCTCTACTTGCTCTTAAAAGTGCATTTTGTTACATAGTTGTAACAGCAAAGATCAGCTGACCATCAGAATTTTGATTGGATGAAAAAAATAGGTTCCTCTAAAAGCAAAAATAATGTGAGTTTAGGCTTTTTGGGAGATCCTAATGATACAGAGGCCATACGAAAGTCATATGACTCAGGAGGTTTGTAAATAGCTGATCAGTGACACATCAGCCCCTCTGGTACATATCTTTGTTGTATTTTCAGGATCTTAGGTGACACTTTATAGCCAAGTGGAAAAAAGGTGAGGGAGTCAAGAGAATCTGCACCTAAATTCAAACAGGATTCCAACCATTCTACCATTGTAGATTGCAGGAGTGGTTTTAGGATCACTACACAGTTGTATGTACGGGAATGGCTTCATTTTTACACACCTCTCCCTCCCCCTTTCTGGTTTCCTTGAATGCTTTAACCTAAGACCTGACCACCTGCCTTCGTAGTGACAAAACTTGGAGTAGAATTCCACATCTCTCCCACACTTACCCTGGGCTGTGGACCGCAGTATCCTAGATAGCAGCAGTGCCTGCCAGAAAACAAACAAACAAACAAACAAAAAAACGTGACCCAAACAAAACCCACAACAACAAAAAACATTGACTGGGTTCAGTTGTTCTGGGCCAGCTATATGCATATGTTTGTAGCAAGCAGATGTATGTATTTAAGCCTAAGTACGGGGAGAACAGGTATTTGGAAAGATTAGATTGTATTCCATTGCACTTCTAAACTGTGTGGGTGTAAGGAGCTATTTTTCTTGGAGTTCTAAGGAGCTATTTTGCTTGGAGTTCTACTAACGATGGTCAGTGTGTCTAATTTTATAATAAGTTCCAAAGATGCCCAGCATTTAAGAAAAGATCTTGCATGCTTGTTTTCAGTTCCAGGCTGTTTGTTCTATAGGTATTATCTTTAAAAGTCTGAAGGGTGTTGTGCAGAGATTATCATTTTGAATCGCACTTTGCACTTGTTTTCCTTAAAAGCCTACTTCATTCTGGAGGTGTTTGCTTTGGTGCTGTTCATGTGTTATTACAGAGCAGCTTGACTCCCCTCAGCGCTGTGCAGTGCTTTTGTCACATAATCCCTTCCTAGGCAAAACACTGAAACAAACCAATGTTATTTATGACAAATGCTTTTGACAAAATACAGTTGTCTTCTTAGCAGCTATTAGTGTTCTGCTTCCTTAAGTATTAGGTCAGGTGGAACACACAACCGCATGACATTTTGCATATATCTGCTTCGCAAAGGAGATCCCCTCAATCAATGCACACGCTGTTTTTCTTTCTGATACCACTTAGTGCAGCCTGGTTTAAAAAACGTGCAAGTTACGTGAGCTATTTTGTCTGAGGCTGCCTTGTCCATCAGAAGTCGTGTAGCTGCACCAATATGGCACTTTACACGGGCAGTTTTACCCTGCTGAGAAGAGCTAATCTGTGTTAGGTACAGCCCTATGCTGAAAGTTTTATGTGATCGTGCTGAATATAGCAGGAGAGCCAAAAGACAGTTATGTTGTGGAAGTGGGATATCTCACAGAGCTCTCTAAATGCTGTAACATCTCTCACTCCACAGCTCTTCACTTCTCCTCATCTACTGCTCAAACTACACTCCTGGAATTGAGGCAACCTTCGTTTAGGGTGCTGCAATTCAGGTAGCTCTTACCTGGGTGTATGGAATGCTGGTTTTGACCTTCGCTCCACCAATTAATGAAGTAGCATAATGAGGCTGGATTTTAGCGAGTAACCTTAAGATGGTGTTCATGAATCAAGGGACTAGGTGAAAATGTGCACTGTGGACTCGTTAGATGAGAGACAATGGTGGTCCTAAAGCCATCTAGCTATAGTAAGCATGCCTACTATGCTGGAGATAATAAACTCTGCTGTCTGCCTTTTTTTATCTATCTATCTGAAGCACCCAGCTGTCATTAATGTGTAGCATAAATTAGTCACATTAATGAGTTTTTATCTTTCCAAGATGATGAAAAATAACAATTTAGATTCTGTTCTAGTTTTTTGACATATTGTGAGTACGTAGGTGGAAAGTATTATGTGAAGCTGAATGTCATACTTTGGCCAAACCTTTGGTCACCTATCTGTTCAAAGTGAATTTCAGACTGGCCCTATAGGCATTGCTTACATAAATCAGGCATTTACACCTCCATTAATGATGTAGCTCAAAGCCTAAGGTAATTTTAAGACAGACGGTGCAGGATTTCCATGGCATTCTCAAGATGGAAACTCTTAGGAGCAAGTAAAAAGAATTAGCGTTCTTCCATATTAAAAAAATAATAGTGATGTGTTTTATTTCAGCAGGTGCAAAACCAAAAAAGGCAAAAACCTCTCAGCCTCAAAGTAATCTGGATGTGCTGAAAAAAATTGAGGTAAGATTGCATACTCTTTCTAAATTGTGTAGAAGAGAAATCGCTGAAGGAAAATGAAACCTTTAGTAAGTTTTTTGGTACCAAATGGAATAACTAGAGCAGCCTTTTTCTGGCTTTGTCTTGTTACTCTGACAGACAACTCTTCTGCAATGTGGTAGCAGGAGGGAGAGGATAAGGATAGAGCCTGGCTGTGGAGAAAATCTGCTCCTGTTTGAACACGACAACGAGTTGTTCTTCACTGAGTGGCGATGTAGCCTAATTGTGAACAGCAGAGCTGCTACTAGAACTTAATGAAGGAGGAATTGGTGCCAGAGCTTTTAAATCTATTGCTGTTTTGCCATTCTACTGATGTTGGAAGTTAACCGTTTAGTAAGTTGAGAGGGAAGAAACGTACAGAAAGGGAAACTTAGGAGGGACGTGGCTTTGGTTTTGGAGGCGGCTGTTGGCTTGTGGGAATGGAGAGCTTGAAGGTGAAACAGCCTTGTATGTTTTAGCTTGGCAATACATCAGTTGTTTGGTGCAGATAGATACCTTATTACATATGGTATGCGGTATTGTTTTACCAAGCATGACATGGCCTTCTACTGTCAGTTATTCTAACAATGGATGATCAAGGGAAATCATCATCTCAATTTGTTACACGAGACATACTTTTTTAGATTTCAAGTCTAATGGCTAATGCTTGATCAAGTAAGCCCTCATGAAGTTCTCGTGCTTCACGTTATGTTGTTTCAAGTACTGACAAAAAAAAAAAAAAACATTTGCACAGCATTGTTATGCTAGCTGTCTTGCTGTTAACTGCAGTATGACGTTTTGGTAGTGTGGAGGATACACTGTTGCTGTAACATGGGATTACCTTCTAAAGGAGATTGCCTTATGACAGGAGTTGGAAAAGAAGGATGACGAAGAAGAAAAATCCGAAGATGAGAAAGACAAACCAAAAGACCAGGAAGGTGAAGATGATGAAGAACCAGAAGAACCAGAAGAATATGATGAGGAGGAGCAGGAAGAGGTATGTTAGTTTTCCTGTTTACACGAAGTCAGATCCCATTCTTTGAGTAACATGTTGGCTGTCAGCCAGAGAAATGTCCCTAGCTTCTCCAGTGCTAAGAAAGAGTTGTAGTGAGAGGCATTATTATGTCAGTTTCCTTTGTTGCACTACATTGTGTTGTAGTTAATGTAATTGAATGTTTTAGATTTGTTATTCTCAAAAAGGTCTGGAAAAAAGATCTTGCAGGCAGGAATGTGTCCTGCCACAATCAATACGTAGTTGTTTGTTTTCATCACTAAACAGCGATGCCTTTTCTTTCATAAATACCAGAACTTCATTACAATGTTTTCCTTTTTCTTTCCCAAGAAATAAGGAAGGAAAAAAGTCCTATTACTGATTCAAAACGTGGGTGCTTAAGTGTGGTTTAAAGCATGTTTCTTTCATAAACTCTTTCCTCCACAGATACAGTGATAGATTTTTTTTTCCCTTTTGTTTAGGCAAATGACTACATTTCTTCATATTTTGAAGATGGAGATGACTTTGGTGCTGCAAGTGATGACAATATGGATGAAGCAACATACTAGCTGTTGTTGCTAGGTGGTATACTGCTCAAGCTTTATGCTACTTGAAGTAGAATTCTGGAGGTAGACTGAGTATCATAGAACTAAAGCTTTAGCTCCGTTGGTTTTAAGTAAGACTCTCCAAAACCACGTTGGACAATTCTTTTTAATTGTACTGTGCTGCAAAACAGGATAGTTTTGTTCTTTTGCCAGATGTTATGCAGACACGCGCCTTTTTAAGGTTCTCTGGAATGCCTACTGATGGAGTAAGCTATATGCCATTGTGTTGCCTCTGTACAGAAAAAGAATGTATGCATTTGAACAGAAATTGTGCCTAAGCATTTGCACTAGTCAGTTTTATGCTTTAGCAGTCAAATCTTGAAAGTAATAGTGAAATTCTTGATGACTGCAGCAAAAAAGAGGTACAGCCTTTATGGACATAAGCTGCTTGTGTTTGGCAGCTGACTTCCCTGATGCTATTTAGGTAACTCCTGATTTCAGGTGGCTGAAAATAATTGACCACTGAGCACTTTAATATAAACTGACTTGAAAGGACCTTAGTAATATGGAAAAAAACAACAAAAAAACAATTTTAAAGAGCTATTATTCTAGTTAAACGGATTCATTATTTTTAGTATTTTGGTAAAAAGGGACCGTAATATTTAATAATGTGTTACATTACCTTTGTGAATCAGCATAAGTAATAATTGAGGATAGTGTTACTTAGAAAGAACATTTGGCAGAATTTAAGATTGAGAAATTATGGAATGCTAGTTTTCACCAGTGGCACACGGATTAGTGATGAGAATTTCAGTCCTTTGCCTCAGTTCCTCCATCTGTTAAGACGACACAAACTTTCCTACCTCGCAGAGCTGTTACAATTAAGATGGCAGACGATAGCTATCGATGTAGTTGTTAATGCGTTGTGGTTTTTTTTTACTTTACTATAGAACAAACAAGACAGCAAATCAGTAGCAAAACACCCCCAAAAGGAAAGAATGTGGTGAAGTATTTTGATGCATGAGGTTTTAATTAGGAAAACAAGGCAAGAATGCTGAGACTAGCAAAACCAGAATGTTTGGAAACATTAATTTAATTTAAGAACCAACAGCTGAAGTGTAGAAATTTATTCCTGAGATTAGAAACTTGAAATAAATGACAGAGCATTCTTTGTCGTGTTGTCCTTTGATGATACAAAATATTATTGATCAGTGTTATTATTGATCAGTGTTATTATGTCACTATTGATCAGGGTTGGTTTTTGTTTGGTTTTTACTTTTTTAAAGCATTCTGTTCCTGATAACTAGTGCTATTACCAGGTCTAATGAAAGAACAGTTTTAAACCAAAACTAACTCTTTTATCAGCAAAGGAAAGTATAGAAGTCTTCCTTGCAAGTTTGGCATTTTGTCAAGCAGTACTTTACCTCACTGCTGACTGGAAAACAGTACTGCATTATTCTATAAATGTCTGTATGCAGGAAGAATTTGTTCTTTAAGGTGTAGCTTTCAAGTGTTCTGATAAAATACGTATCAGATGCAAAAGAAACAAAACTAAAATGCTACGCCTCAAAGGTACACCAATTCTATTTTGAAGCTACAAGTAATGTTTAATAAACATTGTGCTGCATTGGGTAAGAAATGTGTTGTGTCTGTTTATTTTCTTTTAACACCGCACATGCCAGCAGCTGTTTCTTGACCATGCATGCCTGTTTCTTGTGTGATACTCAAGAGGAAGACAAGATGTTGTGAACAGGGTAAGCATGTTGAAAACTGAAGTCACTTGCCTCAAGTATAACAAGTTTTATCTTCTACTAGCTGTTTCCCTCTATGCAAGGTAAACGAGACTCCTTGCCTCCCACACAAGGAATGCAGATAGATGGCTTTTGCCGAAGAACGAGAAAACTAACACTGGAAAAGCATTACTGAATGGGTTGGAATTTGGTCACAAGCTGCACCTTGCCAAACAGGTGCAATGAACTTATTTTGTGGCAGACACTAACTCTTGGGGACCGATGACTTTCTTCATTCCTCATTCTGCTAATGGGAGAAACAATTGCCTCTCTGCTCGAGTGTTGAGAAATACTACTCTGGCAGAAATTAGGTCTTTTTGAGACCTTTAAAAGGTGCACTGTGGTCACCTCTGTCCTCCAGAGGGAACCGCAGCCTTAGGATGGACCCTCTAGGACTAGTTTAACAATGGCAAGTAAGGCCAATGGTTTTGAATGTGCCATGCTCTGTAATGATACAGCTCTCTGCCAAGGCATTTCTGAAATGAAATGAGGTTGTGCTGTTCCAAAGGCACAACATTTGCAGCTGTATTTATAAGCCGATTTTCCGATTGCTTATAATTTATTGCAAGACCATAATGCTGATAAAACTCAAGACCCTTCTTTGGGTCTCGGCAAACTTGAGGTTTGGACAGGCATATGTTCAAATTCTATCTTAACAACATAGCAGAAAAACTTTGCTACTTCATACAAGAAGGCACTGCTTTCAGGGTGTAGGGAGATCACTATCTAAGAACTTAATTACCTTAATTTTCCATGCTTACTTCTTAATCCTCATGTCACAGAACTAACAAGTTCTCAGAACTCTATGCAGAAAAGTTCCAAGTTCTACGAGGCACGCATAGGATAAACCATTAAGGCTCCGGTTAAGGTATGCTAGATATGAATGTGCAGGATTTTTATTTTAGGTCATACATAAAACCTAGCCAAAACAAATACAAGTAGCAGCCTCCTGTAATAAAACATGCAAAGTATACAGAGCTAAGAGTACATTATATGCACCACTTCCACTGCAGTCCAAAATAAAATCTTTATTTTATGTACATTACTTAATGTTATTCTAAAAGCAGAGGAGCAGAAGTATTTAAAATACTTGCATCCTCATTCAGCATTATTTTACAAAGTCGTATTTTCAGCCTTTATAAAATAGTTATACAAAGATTTATTTTTTTTGTGACAACACTCCAAAATATAGCAGATTTAAAGCATTTACATTTTACATGATCCAACAGTGCAATATGCACTTAAATTTAAAACCAACTTCCTGATCAACAGTGTGTTGTAATTAATCCAAAACATGATTTACGACTCAGTTGCTTTTTTGTTTGTTTGTTCGTTTTTTAAACAAGTCTGTTTCTAAAAGACTTAACTTTACAGATTTTTAACTTAAATCAGATTTAAGTTCCATACAGAGCAGTTCCCTGTTTATTCAGGGCTGACATGTGACAATGCATTGCCAGTTGTGTTGTACTTCTGAAAAAAAGTAAAGATCCCTGTACCCTGCAGGATGCCAAGCCAGCTGATGTCTGTAGATCACCAGCACCAGGAATCCTACAATCTTGGAAAGAGACGCACGGTATCTTCTGATAAATTTAACTCTCTGAATTAAACATATTCTATATGAAATAATATGCTACATAATGGAATAGTAAAACCACGCTAGGCTCTTGGTTAAGATTTTCTAATGATTGCTTAACCCAAGGTAAACGAAGGCCCATCGCACTGAACTTCGTGACAATAAGCCACGGGCCTTTCAACACTGCAAAAGCCCAAAGCCTGGGATACCCTAGAGAAGTATTCAGCTGTACCACCACAGGATGAAAAGCAGCAGTTAACCACTGATCTCTTTACTCCTGCGTCAACAGGATAGAGACCTTCCTGACTGAGTCAAACCACAACTGCAGTGAAGTTCGCTTCTACAGCGATCACAATACCCATCAGGTCAGGTAGACTTACGTTGCATCATCACAATGGCTAAATTCATGTTCTTCGACAATTTTGTGAGAAATGGAAGGATGAAGTATTAAAAACGTGGAGGTTTCAGAAACAGAATGAAGAGGAAAGAGACAAACCAGCAAATAAGCTTGCAGCCAAACTGACATGTTATATACCACGTATTTCTATGTTTCCTACATAGAAAATGTCTTAATGTGCCCAAACTCTGTTGTCTGAACTACAGCAAGCCACCTTTTAAAGTTTTAGCCATACAAGTTGTATCACGTTAGCGACAATAAATTATTTTGCAATGCAATTTTTCATGTAGCCTTACCCAGAACTGGTACTTCAATATTCATGCTTGTGTTATTGGCACATTGTTTTCATGGAAAGAACCGTTCTTTTAAAACATCTTTAAGAACAAGTGTTAGGAAGTTCATGCCTGTTTGCAGTCCCTCTTCTAGCGTGGAAACTATGAGTAGTCTCACTGTTTCCACAGATAGCACCGCAATCAAATGGTTCAAGAGTCATAGATCATAGTTCACAAATCCAACTGTACAGTATCTCCCTTCACTTTGGCCTGCTTCAATTTCAATATAATACACTAAAAGTTACCCAATTCATGTTCATACATTTAGCATGCCAGTGAAAAATATTTGCCGTGCTTTTTGGTGCAACAGGTGCCCCAAGAACAGATGAGGCATGAGTATTTGCTTTCAAAATTTAAGCTGATAAAGCACTTTGGAGTACGTCCAGTAGTCAGGAAACATTCACTTTATCAGATTTTTTTATACTATATATACTTAATCAAGACAATCAAATGAAAGCTTGTAATAGTAGTTTAAATGACAGTGATTATTTTTCCATTTCTCTAAGTCCTATTCAAGTTATTTATCTTGGGCATTGGTAACAAATGGCACTTTGAACAGGGCAACGGAAATCTTACTCCACAAGGCAAATACAACAACAAAAAAGTTATAGGCAGCATCTCATTTTTTATTTAAAAATATTCTGAGTACACAAGTCCCTCCTTCTTTCTGTAGGAAGAGTCCAGGGTTTGTTTTTGTTTATCTGGTAGCATTTTCAGGTAGGGAAGAAAAGAAGGGAAAACCAAAGTTGTTCATGAAACCCCAAGTGAAACATTCAAGAACAGAGTGGTTGATGAATACACTACTATGTAAAGAACAAGTCTGAAGCTGCAACTTGCAAAATTTCTTGCTGGCAGCTATTCAATCTCATTTGAAGTTTTTTAGGAGATTTCAGGAAAAAATTAGTGTTTGAGGTTCATGGGCACATGAACATTGGTCCTGAACTGAGATTAACTGGAGGGGAGGCAAAAAAAAAAAAAAAAATCCATTAGCATAAAACAAAGACTACCGAAGCAGTCACAGCAAGCGCTTCTTTCATTCCATACACAGCTGACCAGATGAGAAGTGCAGTCCAGTCAGTTTTCAGTAGGACACCAGGGAAGGACATGAAGTTTCAACAGGACTGTCTCAACTGGACTGTGTTGAGGCACAGTATCACTTACACACAAAACGAATTATTCTACTGCCTGTACTGAAAAGTACTAAAGAATGGGTTGATCACAGGCACAGGATTTGAAGATTCCAGCTTAAGTATTAGTTATGGCCTCTATAAAAGTCACTTCTAAAAAAGAACTTCATAGTGGCGATTAATTGTGGAACAACTGGGTTTTTTAAAAAAAATCTTACTCTATAAGAAAGAGAAAATAATGAGAACACAGTTTTAACTGACAACTGTAAACCTGATATTAAAATGTCAAGTGTACTATGCATTCTATAAATACTTTAAGATGTTTAAAAGTTAGATATCCCCAAATGCCCATTTTAGGGCTGTAAAACAGTGAGATTCCTCATGTGTTAGTTCAAACAACATTTTTTCACTTCATCATTAATTAAAAAACATAATGCCTATCAAAATAGAAAAAAGTGCAAAGCTTCAGAGACAATTTTATACCTTAAATTATATCCCAACCTTGCATTAAGATCTCCTGTCTCAGCCATATTCAGAGATTACATGATCCACAGAAATATCCTTGTACTGGAATGCTGCCCATAAAGGCAAGTCACACGTCAGTATGCATTTTCTCTGCGTTCCAGATGCATTTTGCATTCTGTGGTTTCCCCTTTATCTAATGCTAAGTTATATGTCTATGAGTAACAGTTTCCTGGGATTTTGCACTGTTAAGGCTGAAGGTCTCCTTGATTATCAACATTTATAATATTCGCAGGATTTATTCCATTTCCTATTGGTTTCTGATGTGATGCTGCTGTGACAAACAAATGGGAAGATTCCATTGTAGAATGGTGACTGACATCTGCTTTCACTAGAACTTCGTAATACAGGAGATAAAAAACGGGAGTTACTATGCCAATAATCAACATAATCACTACAGCTGTCCACCATCCTATACCCCAATCTGCTCCATAGTAAGGATCCTTGCATTTTTTAGTTTTACCATCAGTTTCAAAACAGATCTGTTGTGCGGCTAAGGCAGAAACAACTTCATCAAGATTCTCTCTCTTTGTATCATTACACTTCACTATTTCTTCTATGTCTCGATCCACTTCTTTTAAAAAGTTGCCAGCAGTCTCATTAGCAGAGAATTTATCAGAAGGTGACATTTCCTGTGCTTCTGGGGAACAGTAAGCAGGCCGAAGGACTGGTCTTCCTTTTGGAGAGACATGCGTTTCGGTCAATACACTGAACTTCTTCACTGGGATTTTGATAGACCTCAGGGCAAAAAAGTCTTGATCGTTGATAAGATTGTTAACTCTCTTGATATCTGCAACCTGAAAATAAAAACAGCAGTTTAAGTGTCAAGGCCTCATTGAACCGCAACTCTTAAGAGTATTGCGTTATTGAGAAACACAATTCTTCCCTAATGAAACAAAGGCAGCAACTTTTTTTTATTCTTTCTAAACCAATACCCATTCAAACAGTGTGGGGTGAGGAGAGGTCAAAGACCAGATCTGAAAAATGTTAAAGCAATGTTACTTCACTCACAGAATCATAGAATGGTTAGGGTTGGAAGCGACCTTAAAGATCATCTAGTTCCAACCGCCCTACTATGGGCAGCGAAATCCTCCACTACACTAGGTTGCCCAAAGCCTCATCCAACCTGGCCTTCAACACTTCCAGGGACAGGGCATCCGCAACTTCTCTGGGCAACCTGTTCCACTGCCTCACCACCCTCAATGTAAAAAATTTCTTCCTTATATCTAATCGAAATCTCCCCTTTCAGTTTAAATCCATTGCCCCTTGTCCTATCACTACCTGCCCTTGTAAAAAGTCCCTCTTCAGCTTTCCTGTAGGCCCCCTTTAGGTACTGGAAAGCTGCTATAAGATCACCCCGGAGCCTTCTCTTCTCCAGGCTGAACAGCCCCAACTCTCTCAGCCTGTCTTCATAGCAGAGGTGCTCCAGCCCTCACATCATCTTCGTGGCCCTCCTCTGGACCCGCTCCAGCAGCTCTATGTCCTTCTTATGTTGGGGACTCCAGAGCTGAACACAGTATTCCAGGCGGGGTCTCATGAGAGCTGAGTAGAGGGGCAGAATCGCCTCCCTCGCCCTGCTGGCCGCCCCTCTTTTGATACAGCCCAGGATACGATTTGCTTTCTGGGCTGCCAGTGCACATTGCCGGCTCATGTTGAGTTTCTCATCCACCAGCCCTCCCAAGTCCTTTTCCTCAGGGCTGCTCTCAATCCATTCTCCGCCCAGCCTGTACTTGTGCTTGGGATTGCCCCGACCCATGTGCAGGACCTTGCACTTGGCCTTGTTGAACTTCATGAGGTTCTCACAGAACCGCATATATTCACTTGATGAATATCCATCATCAGTGGTAACTATCTTGTAAGTGCACGGGACAACTTTACCTCAGTGTTTTCAAATGAAGTAGATTACTGTGCGTTCCTAATTAAACCGAAAACTTCTAAGTCAGGAATATTAAAAATTACAAGGTTCCAATTCATCTAGCCACAGCTGTGGTTTGGATACTCTTTCTGCTTCTGAGGGCTAAGGCAGAAACGAAGCATAACTTAAAACTGTCATCTTGCGTCATCAAGTCGCTCTCCCCTTCGCCTATTGTTGCTCAAAATCAATCTCATTTCAGTCTCAGTAAGTTCAGATTTTAAGTCTAACATGAAATACTCTGCAAAGATGTAAGTGCCCTTGGAGAATTAGCGGCTTCATTCTGAAAGAGTAACTCTCTCAACATGGAAGGCACAGCCACAAACCTCACCACAAAGAAGTACTTAAAAATCAGCACTTCTTTCCGACACCTGGTAAGCTCACGGGAATTGTGCCCATTCTAAGATGCACAGTATGCAAGTTCAGATCCTTCCTGTCCTCACTGGGAGGATGTCTATGCCAGGAGAAGTTGCAGAGAGAGGACAAGGTAGCCAAGAGACCCTTGTTGCTGTGACTGCTCCAGTTATGACACAGATGTGGCCAGAAAAAGTAAGTTAGGCTGATCAGTGCCTACTCCCTGCAATACCCTTGTAACATGGAAAAGTGTTTCAGTTCCTGTGACACTGTATTTGTTACGCGTACCACAGTGAATAAATCAGACAAGCATTAAATGACTGTCAAATGCAGGATTTACCTCAGTGATTAGTGAATTTCCATGAATTCCAAGCAAGAAAGCAACTCAGTCACCTTGTGCTTCTTCTCTGAGGCCTGATGCAGTAAGTCTGCTCAAAATACCTAACTGTGGTGGGTTATGAAGCCAAGAATTGCTTAATGAGGCTAAGGTCTGTCATGATTAATACATAGTTAGTCAAGACTAAGCTCATGACAGGAGGCCTCTAATTGTGTTTCTGCCTGAATAATCAGACGACAACAAGAGTTCTGTAAATATGGATTTTCAAGTTGACTAAATTTGACTTCTGGAAAACTGCAGTTAGCAGTCAGTCCGCCAACACACAGAGCCGATTTCCCATTAGAACTGGACACATGTAAAGGTTAACATCAGCCAGGACAGAAGCCTCTGCCTTAATTAGCACTGACTAGACAAAAGTACTGGGTAGGCAGGATATTCACCGGACTAATTTAAGAACTCTTAGCTAGGAGAAATACCGCGGTCTGAGCACCAGAAGGGAATGCTTGCAGTATGTGGGCAGAGAGCTCCCAGCGATACAACACACCGTGCTGGTAAACATTTACCAACTTTGCAGAATTTAAAAGACAACTACAATGAGGGTTTTTTTCCCCCCCCCCGCCTTACTGGGGGAAAAAGCCCTTACTTACTTCTGCCGGGAGAAGGGAGAAGGCAGAAGCGGTGAGCGCCTGCGGACTTACCGAGCAGCAATACTGAAGCGCGATGGCGTTCAGAGTGTCCCCTTCCCGGATATCCCTCGTCAGCAGGACGATATCATCCAGCCTG